CCAATTTTTCACAAACGTGGGCAAACCAAGCCTTAACAGGTACAACCCATTCTTACCCTTATAAATGAACTTGTTAAAGGTACATACAGTCCTGATAATGATCAGACAATCAAGCCATGTAGATTGGTGCAAACTCAAGTAAGTCAGTAGATACAGACCCATTTAAAGGAAACTTACATTACAAGAAACCTACATAACATTAAAGACTCCCCTGCACTGTCACAGAAAACAAGCCAGATCTAATGAGATATTAAGCCCCGCTGGTTGACACATATTTAATCTAAATATCCCATAGGCTTCCCTACGTAATAAAATCTTCTGCATATCCATTATACTGTATGGTTTAGGGCAGACCACCTCTAGCACCACAAATCTTTCGGACTATGTCCTTTCTCTGCAAAATGTCGGATGAGGGGAGCATCCTGACACTTATGTTTTAACCGAGATTTGTGCTCTAACAGGCGTGTTTTCTCCTTGAGGTAAGTACACTTTCAATCAAAGCGGAATTATGTATTTTCCACAAAGATAAAGTGGTCTTGAGAACTCATCCAACATTTGCACTGAAGGTTACAGGAAATTTCCCTCCCATCCTTTTGCCTTAATCCTGAACATCTGAGGGAAAAGAGGTGGCCTACCTTAGATGTGAGGAGAACATTTAAAACCTACTTATGTAGAACTGAACATAATAGGAAAACAGACTTGTTGTTCATAAATATTTCCCCACCAAATGTAGGAGGAAAAATGTCTAGGTCAGCCATCAGCAGTAATATAAAGGCTTGTATTGTAGAGGCATATAAGACTCTTAAGTTAGTCATCCCAATTGGAATCACAGCACACTCTGTATGGAGTGCTGCAGCCAATGTGGCCTTTGCTAAACATGCCTCTGTCAAAGAGGTATGCAACGCTACCACATGGTCTCTATGTTTATAAACTTGCTTGGCGATAGGGTTACAAGGCTTCTAAATTCTAAAGTCCAATTTATTGAAGAGGTTTCCGGCTATTAATACTCTCTTCATCAGAATATTTTCTTAAGCCTCACAAAATAAACTGAAAAAATCTCAGTCAATATGGAAAATATACAGTATAAATATGTAATTAAAATTTTTGGACATATAAACACCAATTCTCCTCAGCTAGGGAATACAAACTCTTTCCCTGTGGGTAATCCAATTTCAAATGGAGTAGCACTATAAGATATACTACATATAGCACTCAAGAACATACAAGATATGAGTAAAAAAACAAGGCAAATACTTGGTTTACCAGCTACCTGTTTAAAGTAACTCAGACCCATTAAAGAGGATGCAGAGCTTCACACAGAGCTCAGAAGCTGTGCCTCTATGTAGTAAAAGACAAGGCAACTTAGATAAGAAATGTAAAACAATTACCAACCTCCCGTCTGGGGTGACGTATAGTTCTTAAGAGGACACTAGTCTCAGAAAGACAACTGTAGGGAACAAACCTATAGTAAATACAAATTCCAATGAACACATTACTTAAGTTAGAAAAACATACATACCATCTATGTGGAGGATGCAGAGCTTCAAAACTGGAATCAGGGAAATGTACTGCAACAATGTAAACAAGCTCAAAAACACACCTCAAAACAGGGAAAGGCTAGGAAGCTTAAATAAGATGCCCAGACCATTAACTACACACAGGTGCAGAAAAATTAAAGGAACCAAACACGAATCCATAACAGTATTTACAAGTAGCAGCTCCAGTCAATTAAGTCCATTTGGTGAATGGTGTTTAGACGGAAAATCCAATACATTTCACATTGCAACAAAATATTCTCCAAATTATTATGATTAAACCTATGAGGTCTTACAAGATCCAAAACAACATATTTAAAATCCTCAGGGGATCCATACTACATATGGATCTTCATTTCAGTTTCATATAGGGTCGTTTTCACAGATGTGTTAGGTTTTCCTGTTCTTTGTACTCTGGCTCTGTGAAACTGTTTTTGGGATAATGTCACTCTACATTTATAAAGCATTACAAATTAAATATCTGCAACTCGGCTGACAGCATTTGGCCATAGAGTATTTCAGTATATCCTAGATGCCGATGATGACTGCCACCCAGAAAGTAGGGACACGGCTTTGGGAAGTCCCATCAAGACGTCCTCAGCTTCTGAGGGAGAACGGGCCATTGGCCACTTACCATGAAGGGTCTTTCTCCTCTGAGCAAAGGAGAACATCTTGTCTCTCCCAAAGTTATCATCTATCTAGGGTGGTTTCATGGGGTTTATTTCTGTCTCAACAGCTTTCTCCTATATTTACCTGTTAATTGTTTTCTGTTTCTGGTTAATGTTCAAGTTACCTGTTTAGTCATTGGAGCTAAGGGTGGAATGACTGCTTTTGGAGTTACCAGAACTGAAGAGATGGGTGACTCCCACACTGGAGACAGGAAGTGAGAAGAATTTGTTCCTGCCTCCCTGATTGGATGGTGGGAATCACCCATTAATGTTTTCCTTTCCTCAGAGGAGAAGGATCCTTCACAGTAAGTGGCCAATGGCCTGTTCTCAGGAAAGTTTATCAGGCACCTGGAAGAAAATAGTTTCAGAGAGTTGCCATGTTGGTCTGCAGTACAACAGCTTGGTTTGAGTCCAGTAGCACCTTAGAGACCAACAACATTTTCAGGGTATGAGATTTTGAGAGGCAAAGCTCCCTTCACCAGATATCTAGCTGGAAGAGAATATGTATTTCCCCCCCTGTTTCCAAGTTACAACCTATATGATCTTTGTTGTGCAAGAGAAGGGCAAGGTGGAGAAGGAGTGGGGTTTAGCGAAACACAATTTTCATCTAAAAATACTCTAGCAACAATTAGAACAGAGTAGTCAGTTAATACAGGCAATGCTGTCACTGGGTTAGAAGTCAGGACAGTCTGAATCAAAGTATTCTTGGCCAACTGGACCTTATCTTTGACAAACTCTGCATCACAAATAATAATGGAAGACAGGCCTATTCTTGAATACTAGCTGTGACAAGCTCAATTGAAATTCCATAATTAAAGGCAGTGTAGTTCTGATTATTGGATGCTGAGGTTAAACAAGACAGCCTGGTTCATCACGGTTCTGTCTTTGAGCTTTCCAGAGACATTGAGCTGAACTCTCTTGGAAACAGAATATGCTGGAGTATGTCTAGTGTTAGATCTCTTCCAGGCAATTTGATGATGAAGGCTGAGGTCCTGTGGAGTAGCATTAAAGCCTACTTACTGTTTATACCATTCATATTTTTATATTTATGAGTTTGCACAAGGTTTAATATGCCTCTAATAACCACTTGGTTAGGTGGTATCCTTTAGAACTAGTGTGGTCAAGTGGAACAAGAGATAGAACTGGATTCATGGGTTCAAGTATCCTAGAGTCCTGTGGAGTACTGGGTCATCCATAGCAATTCCACTGTAAATGGCAAACGTTATAAATTTTGTAAAATCAAGTTTACACAATATGAAGTGATATGAAGAGGACTTTATGTATTCTCTATTTCTCTATTATGTATTTCTCTATTATTCTGTTGGAAGCAGGTAATTTAGTGTTAGGCACAGATTCATCATGGAATTTTCAGCTTATTTTTAAATAAAGGGGAAGGTATGCTTTAAAATGTGCAAGCATTGCTAATGAAAAATCTTGTAAGCCAGAGAATGGCAAAACATGGCTTTTAGTGGGAACGTAGTTGAGTGCCATAGTAACTTGCTCGTCCCCACAGCTATCAGAAGTGGAGTCAATAATTCAAAATAAGTGAACTAGGCAACAGTAGTTTAATTTGCATAATTTGTATTATGCAAATTAAGTCATAGTCATATTGTCTGTCTATAGTTGTCTTGTAAATTTGAAGTCCTATAGTTTGGACAATATTAACAATAAATCTGAATTAGGTACAATTATGAACTGCTCATCCCCTAGCATTCAGTGCCCATCCTTTAAAATTCAGATCTAAACTAGGGAAGTCTCCCTGCTCCTGCACTTACTGGCTCTTCCAGGACCGTCCAGCTGGTTAATAATAGCCCCTCCAAAGTTCAGGAGCACTTCCAGTTCCTCTGGCACCTGAGCCCTGATTGAAGGGGTGAAGAAAGAGCTGGGAGGCCAGCAGAATTGGAGGCATAACTGCAAGACTCCCAGAGCAAGCCGCACTTGTCACCCAGCCCGGTGAAAGACTGGTGCTATGAGCAGGTTGCACCCACTGGCCCACAGCTGTTGTGGGCCATTTCTCTGGCCCTCCTAGGCCTAAGCCAGTCAGGGGAACAGCCTCCTAAGGCACAGGGGGAGGGCAGGGACCAGGGGGAGGGTGGGCCCTGAAGAGGACCAGTCCTTTCTGCAACCAACTCGCAGCGAAGCCTCTTCTCCCTTAGGGCAGTGGGTGAGCCCAAGGCTGACCTGTCCCAACCTCTTCCTTTAAAAGACAGGCCCAAGGCAAGCCAAGAAAGACAAGTCAAGCTCCTCTCCTGTTGCTAGGGAAGAAGGGCTGTGCAGAAGAGGGCTTTGGGTGAGTCTTAGGCTCCCTTCTTTTTATTGGCTGAAACATCCCAAATGCCTATGCTGAAAAGGATGCTGCAGGGCAAAGAGCCCAGGGAGTTGGAGCCTGATAATCTGTTTTCAGTTGGGGTTTTTTGACATAGAAAACATGTCTTTTTACCACAGAAAGGACCATATGAGACCATAATTAGCAATATCACCATTTGTTCTCAACATATTGTTTTTAGATTAGCAGCAAACTAATATTTAACATCAGTAGTTGACCTGATTTGGACATACATCTTTTCCTTTGTTGGTATTCTGGACATTGCAGCACTTTTCTACAGGGTCCTAGATATTGTCGAGAAAGCTGAGTTTATTGGAAACCTCTTCTTATACTGCAAGCTGAAATCCTGCCTATGTAAAACCATTTATCCAGTATTTCAGTTTTTAAAATCAACTTTAAATGTGATTTTTAAAGGTTGTGCAAATCTGTGATTTCCAGTAAATGAACTAGAACTTATCTTTTTTGCTTTAGGCTTTCAGATAAACTTCTGTGAAAAAGCACAAAGTAAGCTATATGTTTTATAGTATTCTGCTGTTTTTTTGTTTGTATATCATTCTTGGTATGGGGAATGTGTCCATTGTTGAGCTTACTGATTAGCTGTGCATTCATACATGGGCAGAGCTTCCATTTTTCATTTTGCTTTCAAAATGTGATACATGAATATGCCTTGGGTATATTTACTATGGGCATTTATGTATTTAATTCATTTATTCCCCACCTTTCTCCCCAAAGGGGACCCAGAGTGGCTTACATTATTCTTCTCTCCCACTTTATCCTCACACTGTCCCTGTGAGGGTAGGTTAAGATCAGAGAGTATGACTGGTCCAAGGTCACCCATTGAGCTTCCATGGTGCAAGTAGGAATTTAAACCTTGGTCTCCCAGATACTAGTCCGACACTCTTAAACACTATATCACGTTGGCTCTAAACTGACTCTATAGATAAATAATCCATTTATTTTGGTGGATTTGCAGATTTATTTATTTTTTTGCTTTTTGTCAAAATATAGTGGAATTCTTTGGCTGAGAGGTAACAGCTTAAGATAATGTTGAACTTAAGCTGTTTGATATAAAACCCAAAGTGACTATATCAAAGGGCACCTGGATTTCAGAACTTTAAAGTTCCCTTTCTAGATATTTAATTGCATACAAAACTGCCTTTAGTATTGGTCTCTCTGTGCCAGTATTATCTATTTTGATTTGCAGTGACTTTTCAGTGCTGCAAATAAATTTTTGCTATCTGCAGGTCTGTGCTATCTGTAGGTGCCAGGGATTGAACCTGGGATCTTATGCATACAAAACATATATTCTGCCGAAACTATGGTCCCTTGCTCTAAGCCATACTTTTATTTTAGGTGGCCCAGTATTTTGGAGTTACAGAAGCAACTTTTTGAAGAAGTAACTGGTAACTTCCCATAATCTCTAAAAGTCTCTAAAGGTAAATTCCTTTAGAGGTAACATAATCTCTAAAGGTAACTTCCTAAAATCTCTAAAGGTCAGAAATAGTTAGCCCATGTTCGGATGACTAATGGAAGCTCTGCACTATTATTTTTTCATTGTTTCATTCTCTTACAGTTTTCATTTTTAACTGCTGTGTTCATTATGATTGCTTGCCATGTTTTATTGAGATCTTTGTTGGACACCAAAACATAGCAATACTAGTAAATCTTGCCAGTATAGTGAATAAAAAATCTCAAATTTCATTCAGAATCTATATATTTAGCATTTTTATTTGAAGCTACTAGATGTGCGTATGTAATCTAAAATGATGAAATGATTGTAAGATAACTTTGGTATTCTGTAATATATGTTGGGATTTTATGTTTGAGATTTTCTAATAAAATGGTTGCTAACCGAAGTATGAGCTTTTAAAAAAGAGTTTGAATTTGATTGAGTCTTTGGAGTAACATTACAAGAAGTGCAAAAAAGTCCAGCTTGTGCCTATCATTGTGCCTTGTGCATCCAAACGGAATATATTTATTTTGCTGCTCTTCTTCAAGCACTTGTAGTTTTTATGAGAGTTCTTATTTTCTAACCAACAAGAGACACATTTTTTTTCAGTAAAACTAAATTCTTATACTCTGGCACTGAAAATTTTCAGGAAACAGTGCAGTCTTCTGCCTATATATAGAATGAAAAGTTGCCATAAGAAAACAAAGATAACAGACTCTATGATCATTTCCACATTGGTTATCGGCCCCGGGTTCAATGCTTTTGAGAAGCACGGTCTTTTTCCTGCTTGCCCACAGGATTGTTGTGCACTCATGCATCTTCTGGGTTTCCCTGGCTTTTCTTCAGTCTTTCTCAAATCTGCTTGGCTCTGAGGTTTGGGAAAGTAAAGCCTAGATGGCTGCCATTTGGGTGGGAAAGTTTAGATTTTCATGTGTACATAGCAGCCATTTTCCTCCACCCGCCATTGGGACAGGTATTTTTTTAATCTGAAGTGGAATTTCATTATATTATATTGATAAACTGTTATACCAGTATGCATGGTGTTCTCCTAATTACCAGCTTTTTTAAAAAAAAGTAAGTCTCAAGTGCTTTTCGTTGTGGAGATATTTATTTTTTAAAAACATTTATTAGTTGCCTTTATGTCTTTTAGGGAACTCAAGGAATCTTAAAATGTAGATACAATACATAAGATGGAATACATAAAATACATTATAATTTAAAATCACAGTTTAGGACTGCTAGTAAATTAATCAAATGTGGTCCTAAATTAAACTGTCTTCAACTACCTCCTAAAGATTGAAAGTCATGGGGCCAGGTGCCACCGCCCTGTGGAGGTTGTTCCATAATTGCGGTGCTGCCATTGAAAAGGCCCTCACTCCTATTCCCACCAGATGAGCTTCTTTGGTGGGACAGTCAGAAGGCCCTCTCCCTGCAATCTTAATTCCCAGGTAGTAGGAACATGGGAGAAGATGATCCTTCAGATACCATGTTCCCAAGCCATGTAGGGCTTTAAAGGTCAAAACCAACACCTTGAATTGGGCTCAGGACTGGATTGGTGTTCAGTGTAATTGCTGTAAGTTTCAGTTCACATGCTCCAATAGCTGGCCCAGACCTGCACTCTGGCCTCAGCATTCTGCACTTACTGCAGCTTCCAAATACTCTTCAAGGGTAGCTCCAAGTAGAGCATACTGCAAAAGTCCAGACACACCAACCAAAAACTCTCCAAACCACTGTAGCCATCTGGTTCTCTAAGGCGTCTACTGTGTGAAGTAGTACTCCCAAGCTGCAAACCTGGCTTTTCAAGGTGATATAAGGAACTATTAAGGGGAAAGCCATTAAAAAATCTGAAAAGCCCCCAGTGGCTGGGGATGGTGGTGGCCACTGCTAAGGGACTGGGTCTGGGGAACTGCTGGGAAACATGCCAGGCGGAAGCCCTGATGCTGCTGAGCTTTATCTGCAGACGCACCAGTGATGGGGAAACTGCAAAAACTCCTCCCTGAATGGAAACCACCTATGAAAGAAATAATTGATTGCATGGTGTTTTTTGACTTTGTATTACACCTATAATGATAGCAGATTTGTTGCTGTAGAGAATTCTGAGACTCTTGTAGACAGCTTATGCCACGAGGATGCTCATCATTCCTGGAAATATTGTCTGAGTTGTGGCTCTTGCAAACAAGATGCTTATATTAGGCTATGACTTCTGCTTTAGTTACCTTTTCATGTGACTTTTTGTGTTCTTCCTGTTGCTGGAATCCTTTGTCCCCTATGACTTTACAATTCTTTCTAGGATTAGTAGATTGTCTCAGGCAGGATTCTATTTTGAGGAGGGGGGGTTAGCAGATGACTTTTTAAAAGATGAATGAAGCATTATAGCTCTGTCAGAAAGAATAGATGGAAGTAGACAACATAATATGAAAAGGGGTGTCACTGACTTCCATATTTTTATTTTTGTATAATAATAAGGCTCACCAAACTTGCATGAACTCTATATTGGTTTGTGGAAATCTTACAACTTTTTTATGCTGGTGCTGTTTACCCTGGACCCAGACGCAGTTACTTGAATGTCAGTTTGGCTGATTTGTTGATCATGTAATTTCATTTAAGTGTGTTTTAGGACTGTGATCTAAGGCTGGCAGTCTTTATTATAGGTTGCTATATGTGTCTGTCAGCTCATGGAAATTTTAAAGTTTGGAACAAAGTTTTTGCTTGCAGACATACAGGGTTGATTCACATATCAATGTGAATGTACAGGTTGTGTGAAGTTTTAATCTGATTGCAATCCTGATTTGAAAGGCAAGGACAAACATTACTTCGCCTGTTTAGATGTAATAGCAAACCAGTTTGAAATTTGAAATGTTTAGTTATATAACACTAGTCAAGATCAGGCATTATGCAAGACCCATTCCATAGACTGCTAAAACAACAAATTGGTTTTATGGGACAACTATTTGCAGGGCTTTTTTTCTTGGGGAACACTCTGGAATGGAGTTCCGGAACTCCTTTGACAAAAATTTTTTTGAAATGTGTAAAAGTTCATGAGTTTTTAGTATACAGATTGAAAACTTCATTTCCCTTTTGAGAGTTCCGGCACCTCTTTTTCAAAAACAAAAAACAACCCTGATTATTTATATAATATTGTAAAATATGACAGGATTCTTCTCACCAGTTACATCTTTCAGCAAATTGATTTGTAGAGCAGGAGTGCTCAATTTATCAACATTGTGAAATTACACAAAATCAACAACTAGTATTACTTACCACAGTTGAAAATGTATTTATTTATTTATTTACTTCATTTATACCCTGACTTTCTCCCCAATGGAGACCCAAGCACTTTACGTGATTACATGATTACATCTCTATTTTACCTCACAACAATCCTGTGAGGTAGGTTAGACTTGTGAGATTTTGCAGACATTTGGCTGGGACTCACACCAACATCCTGTATACTACAAGTCATGGTGGTTTATTAGGGAACGACTTCAGGATTAGTCCAGCCTTATCCATTCAATTTACTCCCCTTCCCTTGGACTGCCAGACTGATAGGTATTCTTAGAAAAATATACTTAAACAGAGATTAAATCAGCAGAGCAATGAACGAGAGTCTGAGACCATGTGTGTATTTGAAAAATAGAAGCTTTACTAGAACTAACATGGGGAAAAAGGTAAACGGGATGCAAAATAAGAAACACTAGGTTCATACATGTTTACTGCTAGAAAGATACTAAAGGAATGGCATCTCTCCTTCTCCATACCAGAACAAAGGGAAGAAGAGATACCTATATGCTAAATAGCCAATACATTGATTTCCAATCACAAAGCTAAAGGGTCAGGTCATTTTACTAAGACCTCCTACAAGATTCGCGGGCTTTTCTCACTTAATAACAGATTGGGTACAATAAACACGTGACTTTCTGTTGACCAAAACAAACAAAGTTAACTCTATAATTACTGAAGTGTTTTAACTTGCTAAAACCCAATACCCCTTCTTAAGTTACAAAGGCCCCGGTCACACGGGCCGAAAAATGCGGGGGGGGGGGAACGTGGCTGT